CAAGGATCTACATGTGGCCTCCTCCCTGGGAGACGGACAGCAGAGGGGTGGGTCGGGGGAGATGTTGCACGGTGCAAGACATGACAAAATTCATAAATTATCAAGGGTTCGTGGAGGAGGGGGGAGCAGAGAGGGAGGGGAAAGGGTGCGGAGCTGATGCCGGGACCTTGAGTGGAGAGCAAATGTTTTGAGAATGATGAGGGCAATGAATGCAGGGGTGTGCTTTACACAATTGCTGTCTGTGTGGATTGTTAGGAGAGTTGTGTGAGCCCCTCGTGAAATGATTAAAGTTATATAAATGAAAGAAGGTAGGGGTGAAGTCCAACCTGTCAATCAGGTGGCAGTCTGATGATGCCTCCTTGGGAGACACTGGGAACTTCTCCCTTTCTGCTCCTCCACCTTCCTGCTCGCTGGGACGCTGTGTCCGCGCGCCCCGGGGATGCCTCCTGTGGACCACCTGACTGAGAGCTACTGACGCCCTGATCCTCACAAGCACACCCGCCGGCCTGTGAGCTCCCTGCCTCCCCCTGCACCCCCTGAGTCTGCAGAGGGCTCCAGCTGGCAGTGGGCCCATGGGCTTGAGCTGGCCGGGGCTGGGATGCCTTCTTGAGATAGACGATGCTTGCCCTGGTTTCTTTTTCTCGAGGCAACCCGGCCTAACAAGCCCCCGCCCCCACCCCCACGTGTCTGTCAGCTGGAAGCCATGGCACTGGTGGTTCACGTTGGTGGTTCACGTACCAGCAGGAGCACCCAAAGTGGGCAGGTGTCAGCAGAGCTTCCAGAGTAAGAACAGACTACGAAGGAGGAACAGGCTGTCCGTCTCGGAGGACGTAGCCACCGATGGCTTTCTGGGCAGCGGCAGGACGTTGTCAGAAAGGGTGTCAGAAGATGACTACGGCAGCGTGGAGAAGAAGCGATGTGTTTGCCTTGTGGAGCTGGGGCAGAATGTTGACAGTACCACGGACTGCCGAAAGGACACACAGATCCGGCTTGAAGTCCAGCCAGGGTGCTCCTTAGAGACCAGGGCGGGGAGACTTCTCGAGTCCTTTGGACATGTTTTCAGAGGGGAGCAGGCCCTGGAGAAGGACGGACAGTTGTGTGCGGGTTACATAGTTTCATGTCAACTTGATGCGTGGAGGGGTGGGGTGGAGCCTGGCAATGAGGTCACAGCCCGATGATGCCTCCTTGTGAGTGTGGCCCTCTCATGAGGATGCTGGGAACTTCCTCCCTCTTGATTCTGCTATCAGAAGAAGCAGACCTCTCTCTCTCTGCTTCACTTTCCTGCTGTTGAGACACTCAGAGCTGGAGGAGGAGCCACGTGGAGACCCACACCAGCGCTGAGATGCTTCCACCGCCACTGCATCCACAAGACTTTGCACCCCTGGCCTGAGATCTTCCTGCATTTTGCATCATCGCATGTGACCGCACGAGTCCGCAGAAGGACTTTTGGACGAGGATCGGACTTACGGACTTGAGCTGGACGGGGCTGGGATGTTTTCTTAATGTACAATTACTCTTTGACTGGAGGCTCCCTCTGACACATGAGTGTCTCTGGACTTGATTCCCTAGTGAGCCCGGCCTGACACGTGGTGTGGCCGGCACGGGACCACGTGGTGGTTCCCTCTGCTTGTGGAGTCGCTGTGAGTGGGAACCGATGGCACCGCTAAGCCTCCGAGGACCCCAGCACAGGAGACCCAGCCCAGTCAGGGTGGGAGAGAGCCGCTGCCCCTGACCCCATCCACAATGACATCGCAAAATGTTGGAATGAGGCATGTACATATGTAAATGTATTTATATACGATGATGGGGAAATAGATCTATGTGCATATATTTA